CTCTCCAGCCCTAGCCTTATTCAGTTTTATACTCACTGTATATTATACTTGCACATAAAATTCTTTAAATTAACATTTATTGTGTACAATGATAAATTTCTGTGTTCTCCAAAATATCAGCTTCCAATTTGATAATATAGTCAATCATGTTCATCTCTCTGTTTGTATATAACTTAGTGTGTGTGTGGGGGGGGACATGAAAACCTTTTAAGCATGGCAACTCAAAAGATTATAGATAAAAATTCCAAGTTCCTAATTTAAATGTAAATTTGTGTCACATGAAGCCAAATCTGCATTATTTTCTAAAAGAAGAGAAAAAAAATAACTCAAAAGAACTTGTCATGGGGGTGTAAGAGGGCAGGACTCTTTTGTCTTGGCTCCATTATAAAGATTACTAGATATGACACTGTTAAAACACCCAGAGGCATGGATGATGACAGAAGAAATAGATGCTGCTACTCAGCCTGGAATGTCACCGTAAGGCCACAGGTGCTGAGATAGGATGACTAACCAGAAAGACAAATGAGCATGTATTACAGACAGCACTGTGGAGCCACGGTCCTGCCCCAGACAGTCTACATCTGATTTCTCACTACTTAGGAAACATCCTGTAATTTGTTGTTTGTTTGTTTTGTGAAATTAGGAACGTAACTCAGCCTTGGCTATATAATAAATGTAAGGCCAGTCTGGAAAATGACTCAAACAAACCAACCAAAAGGGGTATGTGTATGAGCGTATTACATGTGTGTGCATATACAAACCATCCATCCTAACCATGTCCAGTAAAAAGGACTAGAAAGCACTCATACTCCAGCAACAAAGAGCATGAGTTCCCAGTTCTTTGTTATAAATACCTATCATCTTTACAAACCAAAAAGCAAAAGCAGGCTCCTTGTGGAAACGGCTGATTTCAGGGGTAAAGCAAGCAAAGCACAAGATGAATCAGGAACAATTTATTCTGCCAGAAAGGAAATGCAGAGTGAACCAGATAGGAGCATGATAGATGGATGGGCACAGCAGCCAATTTAAAGATGTCCCCCGACTAAACTGGGGACGACTGAAACAGCACAGTAAGTGAATACAGTAACAATTCACAACATCTCACACAAAGTCAAAGCCATTTAATCTCGACTTTTAGTTAATAAAAAGAGAGAAAAGAGAAGCAGCTTTCAATAAAACATCAACTAGTACATGCAGAGAGACAATGGAAATAAACAGTAATTGCTAATCATCATAAAATTGATTAATTTAGGTAGGGGTCATCAATGACACTAAGGCCACAAGTGAAGATTTGACAAGAAATAAGATAATGGCACACTTTTGGAGTTTATTTCCACAATTATATCTTGTTACATTGATTGCTAGTGACATGGTTTGGCACTGTGTGCCTCTGGATGAAATTCACTGAGAAGGGCATGGCATCTTTTCCTGATATTCCTGTCAGGAAAGCATCACTTGGCTGGGGGGCGGGGGCAAGCAGGAGGAAATACTTCATAGTGCTAGGATGAAGGTTATGCTAGAAAATGCAGGCTTATGCTTTACAAAACTGCTAAAGCCATGAAAGATGGGGAAACTGAGGCCAAAGATGTCTGAAAAAATTCACATAGTATATATTCCTGAAGGGTAGTATGTGGGTTGTGTAACAGGCTTTGTTTTTAGAAAGCAGACGCTAGTATTTCAAGGTAAAGGCACACATGTCTGAAGCTTCTTTCCTCAGAATGTTACAAAAGACTGATAAAACTGTATGTGCTGAGCTGGGCGGTGGTGGCGGTGGCGCACACCTTTAATCCCAGCAGTCGGGAGGCAGAGGCAGGTGGATCTCTGTGAGTCTGAGGCCAGCCTGGTCTACAGAGCGAGATCCAGGACAGGCACCAAAACTACACAGAGAAACCCTGTCTCAAAAAACCAAAACAAACAAACAAAAAAAAAAACAAAACTGTATGGGTTGAACATATGTATTTATGCATGGAGACAGGAATGGTAAGCAATTAAAGAAATGTAGCAGAATACTAACAGGGACAGACATCTGAATGAAGGTATACAATGTATTGTTAGCACCTTAGGAATTTGAAATTCCTTCATTGTCAGAGACCCGAAACAGAATGGAAACTTTGGTGAAAGCACGTACACACCTTCCTCCACTATATTGAGTGGATGCATTGACAAGGAAGGCAACACTTTCGCACCTTTAGTGTAAGTCATTTGAAAAGGCTTTTTCTTCACGACGTTTAAGCTGACATTTTAAAGCCCAAATGATAAAAGAGAATCTTGATTTGTTCATCTTTATAGGCCAAGCATCAAACACGTTTATTGTTCTGTCTCTGTTACATTGTTAAGTAGGAGTTCTATTTCTAGCGTCATTCCATCAGAAAAATGTAGTAACGAGTATTATCAAAGGTTTTTACAAGTGAAACAGAAAGACTGTGGGTGTCAGGTTAAATTGTGTTTGTGTGTGTTGTGTGTATGTGAGAGAGAGAAAAAGAGACAGAGAACAGAAAAAGTTGCAAGTGCTGCTGGTTTTTAAGAATTCAAGAATTATTAATGACATGTTCTATAATCTCAAAAACAGAAGAGCATGTGATTAGCAGTAAAGGACACTGGCCAAAAGAAAAGCAAGCTATTAACAGATCTTGATTTTTAAAAATGAACAAAATGTTTATGATACAAATGAAGCTTTGGGAGAAAAGTGTTGATAATAGAAAACCATGCTTCTAAAAAAGCTAGGGGTCCAAGAAACCAGATTGAACTGTTTCAAAATGATGCTAAGCCATAAATCCTACTCATCGAGTCTGAATGAGCGTTTTCATTGCAGAGCCCAAACTCTCTAAGGCCTTTAGATAGAATCCCAGTCAAACATCTGGATTGGTAAACTCAATAAACAAGGAATATACCTTTGTAGAGGCAGACTATAAACCCAAACCCTCAAACATAGTCCAGTAAAGGTTTAATGAAATGAAGTAATAAAATACGCAGGAAAGTCAAGCATCTAAGGTGGGGAGGGAAGAGGCAGTTTGAAGAAAATAAACTGAAAAGTCCCAAAATCACTGTTCTCCCAGTTAGGTCATTTTGAAAAGGTAAATAAGATACCTAAGCATTTTTAGGATAATGCAGAGAAACTCTTCTGACAATACTGAGTTGACTCTCAAAATCATTTTTTGACAAATGTGTCCCATCTAAAACTTAGTATGTGAAGGAAATACTTAAAAATTTAGCTTAGATGAATCATGTATGCACCCTCAAGGGATTCAAAGCACTGAGGAAAGTTTTCACTTCCATTCATGGAGAATCAGAGAAACTTCATTCATACTTCTTCCAGCAACTGTATTTACTCATATCCAAAAATACCTTTGATCTTTTACCTACAGGTGAGCTGTATAAATATATGCACTTCACTTTCACAAGCGAGTACACCCAGGAAAGGAAGAGGAAAGACAATCAACTCTCTGAGAAATGAGGAGTGCCACAGGAGTATAAAAAAGTAGCTAACAAGACTCTATCTCTATGGCTCCGCACGCACCTGTTTATAGCCCCTACTTTATAAGCCTGCAGGCTTTTCAGGACACTTTCATACCATAAACTAGGAATTCTCAGAGTGAGAGAGGCAACAAATAAATGAAACTATTTTCCCCTCTTTCCCCCAAAGACGATAGAAATCAGTGCACTTTTAAACAAGGGTTGTCGCATGTAGCTGCCCACTCCCTCATGAAAACACTCAGATCTTCTTACTCAGAAGCTGACTGATTTTACAGAAAACAGAAACCACACCTTCAAAGACGCACTCAAGTCTGCACAGTGTTGGGCTTCTGTGCCAAAAAAAAGTCCATTTCCAGAAAGACAGTTGGAGCTACATCTTCTGAGCCTGCTTCAAACTAAAGCCTGTGAAGTGTAAAGTTACACAATCAACTGCTAAAAGGGTTTTTTGGGGGAGGGGAAACTAAACATATCTCTTGTTCTTAAATAATAGTTTTCAAGAAAAAAAAAAATCACCAGTGCTACCATACTACCTTAGAGTAGTTTACAGAATAACAGCAGAGCCTGCAACGTACAGAGTACCATTATTTTTAGATTATCATTTGCCTTCTACAATGCCTTGAAAAATAGTAAATGTATGAAGACACATGACAGCTATTGTCCAATCACTGACAGTATTAAAATTACATTTTAATCTAATTTCTGGAAAGTTCTGCAAAAGCAGCCTAGAAAAGCAAACTAAAATTTAATGAGAAAAAGTCTAGTCAAATCGTAATCAAAACAGTAAGAAATTAACAGTATCCAAAGTACACTAACTAAAAATTCAGACCTTTCCACATTCGTTCTTCAGATTTACCAGTAAAGCTTTCCTGGAATGGGTCGTTTCAATACAAGATTTTTTTTTCATCATGCCATTCTATATGAATGGAGCTGGTGAGAATAAAACCTCTTCAGCAGCTGCTTCATTACAGCTCTACCTCCAATTTCCTCCGACTCAAACATCAACCCCGTAAGAACAGTTCACACAAACAGGGAGAGGAATTGGGGTACAGGGGAGCGTCCATTCTTTTGTCTGGGTGGCAAAACCAACAAACATAAAGGTTCAACGGTGCCATTCGCACCTATCCCCACCCATGACAGTCCTGAAGAGCACTTTTAACCTATTCGCTCCTCGGTACTTGGGGTCCGCGAAGTCAGTGGAATCCAAGGCTTTCCACCTATCTCAACACCGGCTGCGGAGGCAGTGAGCTCCGGGGCTCTACAGAAAATGAAGGAGGGCACGAATCTTTTGAGGACAGAGGGACGAGGCGATGTAGACCTGTGTGGAGGATGGGGCGCGCCGCGGAAGCCGGGAGGCTTGCAAAATCGTGAGCGCGAGAACCCCGGTGGGTCAGACGGGATGCTGTACCTGTTCGGGGATGGGGACAGAAGGGACGACGGGCACACTCGCAAGAGACAGGGAAGGGCGTGAACCAGGCAGCGTTAGACAGCCTCCTCCGCCAGAGCCGAGCCGCGAAGCAGAGACTTACGGTTACTTCTCCGGGTGGGGACCCGGGTCGCGCGGATCCCGCAGGTCTGCAGGTCTTCCTCCGCCGCGGCCACCTGCCTCTCGTGCCCAGGCAGCGGGTGACCTCGGGGCCACTCTGCGCCCCACCCACCCGCCGGCGGCGGCTGCGGGAGCCCGAGGATGCGCGCG